ATCACATCTCCACTTAATAATTTTATCATTAATCAATTTTTATGTCCATAAACTTATTTTTTTCTTTATTTCTGCTGTAGATTGTGTTCATCGCTGGAACAGACACATCAGCGGCCGCTGTGATATGGGTTATGAGCTTCCTGATGAAAAATCCAAAGTGTTTGAAGAGAACTCAAGTGGAAGTGAGGGATTTGATTGGAAAAAAAGGCTTTCTAAAACAATATGATATATATTCAAGTTTAGCTTACCTAAAAGCTGTGATAAAAGAAACGTTCAGATTGTAACCAGTAGCTCCATTGATGGTGCCACGAGAAACACACTATACGAAAGTGCAACATAGGTGGGTTTGAAGTACCTGCCAAATGCTTAGTGTTTGTGAATGCATGGGCAATAGGAACCCTCAAATTTGCGAAAACTCAGAATAGTTTTCTCCTGAAAGATTCATTGACAGCCCTATCGACTACAAAGGACAACACTTTGAGCTCATTCCATTTGGTGGGGTAGAAGATTTGTCCTGTGTGAGAAAGGTGCCATTGACTACCTGAAACTAGAATTAGCAATATGGGCTATATAAGCTCCACAGGTTTGTTAGGCCATTACAACTAGTGGACTTATGTAGCTCATATGCTAACCGCCTAATAAACCCATTCAACAGACTAACAATAAAAACAAACTAATTGCTAATTCTGTTTATTTCTAACATCCTGGAATGCAAATGGGAATTGCAACTGTGGAGCTTGCACTTGCTAATCTTCTTTACAAGTTTGACTGGGGAATGCCATCAGGAATGAATGAAGAAGACATAAACTTTGATGTTTTACCTGAGATCGTTACACACAAGAAAAATGACCGTATCCTCGTGGCTAGGAAAATTTATACTAATCACCGGTCTCCGATCTATTGATCGATTAATTCAGGTCGGATACTGCAGAGGTAAAAGCGACACTTCCAATTCAATTTGCTCCATTCGCAAACGTCAGAATTCGAATCCCTGACCTTTGCTTAAGGGATCTAATGCCTCTTCCCACTAGACCAACTGGTTGTTAATTTAATTCAACATTTTTTAATTTATCATTACAATACGAATCAAGCGATCTCGGCGATAAAGAAATTGTTGTTATTCTTTGAAGTCCTAATTTTGAGCATAAAAAAATACCAGAATTATGAGTATTTAATGTCAGATGATTGAGAGTTATATTTAAAACAGATACTACATGATTCCCTTTATCCATTTGAAAGGATAAACTTCACCTTATCCATTTGAAAGGATAAACTTATGGTGAATGTTAAAATTTATAATGCATTCATGGGGAATGTTAAAAATGCAAATGAAATAACAAAGGTTAATCACACATAAATAGGAAAAGGAAGCGGTGATAGTTTATATATCATTCTCTTCTCTCTTCTTTGATTGAGTTTTGGTGGACATGTCTCTTTTACACTGTCATCGTCAGTTGGTTTGTAACTTGTAGTTCATTCGTGGTAATTACGTATCTTCGACACGTACTACGCAACATAGAATTTTATGGAGAAATTTTGAATGCTTTTTTTTTAAAAATAATTAAGCTTGAATGAGAAACCTTCTCAGACATTTATAGCCTACCTTTATATATGTGAAAATTTAAATATTTATTGCTGAAATTATGCGAGCATTTTAACTGTTGATTTTCAACCGTTGTCTAGAATAATTACGGTGTTTGATTTGACTGTTAATTAACTTATTGATAGTTGATTGGAGACAGACCATTAATTGTAATTAAAAGAATGTTTTCAAGTCTTTTGAGCACTCTTTTCCCGCCTAGAAATAAAAAAACATTTATGTTTATTTTCAATCATTCAAACATTTTTTCTTGTTATTATAAAATTTTAATGAGTAAAGATAGAGTATCAATAAAATATAAAAAAACGAGAATTTAAAAATTTAAGGAAAAAATCGCTCGCTTGATCCATTAGTGATTCACAACATCAACCATTTTCTTATTGTTATCAACAAGGGAGCACTATTGTCTGCATGCTATATACCAGAGATCATTACTACCAGATAACCAACTACATCACTGTAATGAGGAATAGTTAATGTTGCCAAAAAATTAATGAAAACTTAGGTCTCGCTCTCTTGATAATTGGTATAATTAAAATTTTATAAACTCGTCCCTAATTTAAGATTATGTATTCGCCTCTTGCTCTTCCTTTCATTGGGTGGTGACTTATACGTGCAGTTGTCAGAAAACTCTCTCAAAAAAGTATGGTGAACTTGACCGCTGCAGCAAGCCTAATGAAAGTAATACCAGTAAATTATCTTACAATGACTCAGATGTGACCTTTTCACTTTATACGGACTACTAGAAGATCAGGAAACTTTGCGTCATGCATGTCGTCATGCATGTCTTACAATGCCATAGATGAGACCTTTCGAGTTTCACCATATAATGACATTTGATTTCGGGTTAAAGGTTTGACTTGTAATGCATATGGGAGTTTCATCCATTCACGTTTAATAAAATTATGGGTAAACTATAAAATGTTCACTGAACTCATAGAACAATTGCATTCTGGTTACCCAACTTTTAAAACATGCAATACAATCATCAAACTTTTAGTTCATTTTCAGTAAGGTCCCTAACGTTACCTCCCGTTAGTTTTATCTGACGTGACATGTTATAGTTATTTTTCAGCTTAATAAAATCATCCTTTTAACCCATTTCAACTTAATAAAAAAATTTCCTCACTCAAAATTGATTGAAAACCCTAAAAACAAATTGAGACTAAAATACAAAATCAATTACAACTCAATCTTTTTCCGAACCCTATTGGGACTAAAATTGCATTCGATATGACAAATAGTAGTTACAGAATATGAAAAATCCCTCAATTACAGATTCTAAAAGATTTAAACAAACTTAAGACAATTGGATAACACGTGAAATACATCAGAAATAACAACTTATCGTTCGCCACACTTGAACAAACCTTCGATCGAGTCCTTCTCCCCCTCATTTTTATCCACCAATGGTCAATAATCTAGAAAAAAAAGAGCCTAAACCTAAAAATCCAAATTAAACCTAATTTATCAGTCATTTGATTGGTGAAAGAGTTCTAAACCCTTTTAACTTTTCCCAAATTTTATACGACATCGTTTGGAAATATTTTTTTAATTTTTATTAAGCTGGAAATAACAGTAACATGCCATGTTAGATAAAACTAACAAGAGGTAACGTTAGAGACCTTACTCAAAACGAACTACAAGTTCGGTGATTGTATTGCTAGTTTTAAAAGTTGAGTGACAAATATGTAGTTTGCCCTAAAATTATTGTGTTTTAATTTAAATTTTCTTTTAGTTTCAATATTGATAAAACAAAATCAACAAACAAATACCGATAATTACAAAGTACAAGCCCAAGCTTCAATCCTATTCCTTAAACATAGATATACTCCAGGGTGATACGAAACCTATTACACAGCAGCAAATTCAGCCACGCAAGAAGAACTATCCGATCCCTTCCACCGCAAACTTAAATTCCACAACAAGATAGTCAAGTTATTATGCAAATGTTGTTTGTCTGCTTATGTTATATCTATCAGACAAAATCCAAATATCAAACGCTTGAATTGCATGTGGTATTGTTAACAATATTTGGTTGCATCGGGCTTTCACGAAATATTTAAACGAGTAAATAGTAATATATTTAAAAATATTTTTAAAAATAAGTACACTAATATTAATAATATAATTTTTAAATAAGTAGACATCAATAAAACTTTAAGGTCTGTTTGTTTGGTTGTAATTGGTTTTCTGGAAAATGAATTACTGGAATTTGAATTCTGAAAAATAAATTATATTTCTGTAAAACGTTTTCCGGAAAATATTTTCGTAAAATGAATTACATTTTTCTAGAAAACGTTTTACGATGTCTGGAAGATGTTGTTTAAACCTTTTTCCCACTAGTTGATGAGTTTCTTAATATTTATATTTTTAAAATGTTAAAATAATTTATTTATTATTAAATATTATATTTATAATTTTATTAATAAAATATTAATATTGGTATATTTTATTGAAATAAAAATATTATAAATTATATTAATTATTTATTAAAGTAATAGTGTTATATTATTTTTAAAAATATTAATTAGTATATTTTAAATATATTTATTATATTATTATATTAATGTTAAATATATAAATAATATTATTCATTATTAATAATTTAATAATATTATTTCTATGAAATTAATAAATAATACATATTTTATTAATAATTTATTATATGTTATTAAAATAAAAATATAACATCTTATATTATTATAATATAATTGATTATTTTATTATAATCTTAAAAATATAATATTATATTATTATAAATATTAATAAATATATTTTAAATATTTTAATAATTAATATTTTGATTAAAATGATATTAAAATATTTTATTAATATTAAATTCATAAAATAAAATTATTTTGAGTATTTATTCTTTGAAGTGAAAAATTCGGAAAATGACTTAAGGAAAATTATAGCGTAAGTCATTTTTTAGAAAACACAAAGGAAATTATGTTGATCAGTAAAATGTTTTACGTTAACAAACCAGTTTTCCTCCAACCAAACACTGGAAAATATTTTCCGAAAAATGAATTATGTGAAACAAACGCAGGAAAATATTTTTCGAAAAATGAATTACGTGAAACAAACACATGATTTCAATGAAAACTAATTTCATAATTGGCTTTCCATCAAACAAACATACCCTAAGATGGGCATGTGTTTAGGCAAAGTGTAGATGGCTGCAGGTAAGATCTCATGAGGGAGTTTACTCATCAATGGACTAGAGAGCTACAGCTACTGGCCTTGTGTGGAAACTTCATTATTGATGAGAAAAACTTATCGAGAAATACGGTTATTCACGCCTCCCAAGTTTGCTTCATGAAAATATCTTAATTACCACTGTGCAACACAAAATTTACGATATTAGTTTATATATGAGGGAGGATTCCTCTCCATTTTCAACCCACGCCGAGTAGAATACTAGAATGGCAATACAACTCTTTCTTCTCTTTCTTCTACCTCTCCCTTTCTTCCTCTTCATTATCTTAAAACATTATGGCAACAATGGCAATCTTCCCCCTACCCCACCTGCTCTTCCTTTGATCGGTCACTTACATATGCAGTTGTCTGATAACTCATCCTTTCATATTTTCCTTTGGAAACTCTCCCAAAACTATGGTCCTCTCCTGTACTTGCGATTCGGGTGCAAGCCGACCCTTGTAGTTTCTTCTGCAAAAATGGCTAAAGAGGTTATGAAAACCCATGACCTCGACTTCTGCAGCAGGCCTGAACAACGTGGTACCCGTAGATTATCTTACAACGCCTTAGACGTGGCCTTTTCACCGTATGATGACTACTGGAGGGGGATCAGGAAACTTTGTGTTGTACATCTCTTTAGCAGAGTACAACAATATCGACCCATCCGAGAAGATGAAGTTGCTCGCCTGATGGAAAAAATATGCCAATTGTCTGTTGATTCTAAGCCTATCAACTTGAGTGAGGCAATGATGTGCCTTTCCAGTACAATCATTTGTAGAGTGGCCTTCGGCAAAAGGTATGCCGAAGAAGGAGCTGAAAGAAGCAGGTTCCATGGGTTGCTTAACGAAAGTCAAGCCATGTTATCAAGCTTTAGCTTCTCCGACTGTTTTCCTTTCATGGGTTGGGTGGATAGATTCACAGGGTTTCACAATCGCCTTGAGAAAACTTTCAAAGAACTCGATTTCTTCTATCAAGAACTCATCGAGGAACATCTTGATCCAAACAGACTAAAGCCAGAGCAAAGAGATATAATCGATGCGTTACTACAAATATCGAAGGATACTGACTTTCCGTTTGATCTCACCATAGATCACATAAAAGCTATTCTTATGGTTATAACATCACATCTCCACTCAATATTTTTTTCATCAATCAAATTTATGTCCACCTTTATGTATGTATAACCTTGTTTTTTTTTTCATTTCTGGTGTAGAATGTATTTATCGCTGGAACAGACACATCAGCGGCCACTGTGATATGGGTTATGAGCTTTCTCATGAAAAATCCGAAGTGTTTGAAGAGAACTCAAGCGGAAGTGAGGAGTTTGATTGGGAAAAAAGGCTTTCTAAAAGAAGATGATATTCAAAGTTTAGCTTACCTAAAAGCTGTGATCAAAGAAACGTTCAGATTGCAACCAGTAACTCCATTATTAGTGCCACGAGAAACACTACGAAAGTGCAGCATTGGTGATTATGAAGTACCTGCCAAATGCATAGTGTATGTGAATGCATGGGCAATAGGAAGAGACCCAGAAGTTTGGGAAAATCCAGAAGAGTTTTGTCCTGAAAGATTCATCGGCAATGGCAGCTCTATCGACTACAAAGGACAACACTTTGAGCTCATACCATTTGGCGCGGGTAGAAGGATTTGTCCTGGAATGCATATGGGAGTTGCAACTGTGGAACTTGCACTTGCTAATCTTCTTTACAAGTTTGATTGGGAATTACCATCAGGAATTAACGAAAAAGACATAGACTTTGATGCCTTACCTGGGATTACTACACACAAGAAAAATGATCTTATCCTCGTGCCTAGGAAGATTGATGATTGATCAATGTATCATTATAGTAACTTACTCATATTTTCTACCTACACTATATATAAATTATCTGATATTATTATATGAGTTTCGAACTTAATTTAACTATATTTTATAACTCAATAACACCCAAAATCTTTCATATAGGTTATTATTTATTATACTTGAGGAGCGACATAGAGTCTCGTAAATCCTTTTTAAAATATTTAAAAATTTATGTGGATAGGTAACACTCTTTACCCGACTCAATCGGAAGTCGGGTCAAAAGTATCACATCCTATGACTAAAAGTAGAAAGACTAACAATCTAGAATATGCATAAGAGTGAGTAATTAAATAATTAAATTAGACATTCATTGATTTCAAATTATCATATTCTTTATTAATATTCACTTTCTAAAGTCCTTATTACTATTTCATTATTTAATTTATCATTATCTAAAAATAATTCAATCAGACATTCATTGATTTCAAATTATCATATTCTTTATTGATATTTACTTTTTAAAGTCCTTATTACAATTTCATTATTTAATTTATCATTAACTTAAATCATATTGAATATTGGTTTGAATAATATCAATTATTTGATATCATATTATTTTTTACTGTCTCCATCACACAAGTTATGTGCAATGGAGTCAAAACATTAGTTAATAATATCTATACCAAACTATCTAAGTTACCACTTAATAATTTAAATCAAATCCAATTCAATTTTGTATCTTTTAAAAGTTGAAGGACTAACCAGAGGTTTATTAAAAGTACGGGGATTAAAAATTTATACAAGATACAACAAAGGCCTTCATCAATCTTTGATTCAAATAGTATTTATCTTAATTTAGGTTTGTAAGGATCATAAAACATTTATTTAACCAAAATAGAAATAAGTTGTTATTTAAAAACTAAACTGTAAATTTTGAAAAATTTAAGGAGTAATAGATATAAGTTGTCACTGAGAGCATGACAATACTTTTTCTTTAAAAGATTCTATCCCCAAAATTATTTAATCTATTAATATTTAAGTTCATCTTATTATTATTTTTGATTAGATGATTAAAAATATACTATTAAAATTAACAATAATAAATAAGTGTTATCTATTTTAATTCATTCAATAATTTTAAATCAATATAAAATAAAATACAATATGCGGCTGTAACTGTAAGCTCCCTTACCCAAACTATCATAGACCTTCGATCTGACCTATATAAATACACATATCTAAAACAATTGCCCCCCAAAAAATCAGCAAACATATCGACTTATAATCCCGGGTGAACCTGAATGATTCCTATCAAGAGTCCTACATTTCAATAGCCTATGTTGCTCACTATTTTCTCCAGCGGCATCCTTTTTCCTTTTAAGGCATTTCTCACCAGATTCAGTTTGATATGCAACACCATTGTTGAGCACATAAGCTGGAAGCTTCTTCCTACGGACATGGGATACATAGATTTCCATTCCAGGTTTCCGAAACATGTACAACATGCTCATTGAATGCCGGAACTCATCAACCGACCAACGTATTTCGAACTTCTGACCTTGTTGAATTATTTCCCCCTGTTTTCCTTGTAATCCCATAAAAAATGCAGAATGAAATCTTGTTTTAGAGGCATCTACATACTCCTGAGGATAAGGATGGCACAGCAGCTTTCCGAGAGTATCGCGTTCGATCATCAACGTCAGCTGCCTCAGCCGGGATTCTACCCAGCCTTTCCAAGCACGCAAGTCATCAGCATCAGCTGCAACAATGTCAACCTGCAAATAGTTTTTGTAGCTACGGAAGAACAAATAAGGCTCAAACAGAGCACTCCACTTTGCTCCATTCAGCTCAATTTTGTCACAAATGTTGTTGCCATGCTGGAACTGCTCCATCATGACGCCAAGGGTGCTTGAGGAAACATTGTAGCTAGAATTCATGCATGGATAGGCAGGTGTAATAATTGGCATAAGATGAGTCCTATCACGAGAAATTTTACGAGGATCCCATACAGAAAATCCAAGTCCATCTTCTTCAATTGCGCAAAGCATAACTGGGTTGGGCCAACGCCACTGAGTAAAGACCCTAAAGAATCGTGAAACAAGCATGCTTGGAACCGCATTCGGATAAAGTTGGCAAATTCGAGCAACAATAAGTGCCCAGTTAACACCCCCTTGAAATCCAGTCACATTGGAATAAACACATCGCCTTTTAGCCCAAAACTTCAAACAACGAAGCGTAGTGCGAAAATTCTCGACATTCGGCACCAGTTTCAGGATTTGATCTGCAACCCTGCAGCCATTGAGACTTCGAACAGTAGGCTCATCAACATCGTGCAATAATGTCACGTCGGAGATGTCCAGATCTTGAGGCACAACCAAACGAGAGATGCTTGCATAAAGAAGATCAATTGGAATTCCATTGAGCTTGAATTTCATTACAGGGAAATGAGCATCCGGAACTGGTTGTAACTCTGTAACTTCTTCCCTTCCTGCCAGGATATTGTGCAGTACAAAGAAGAAATCTCTCTCGGTTCACATAGGATGGTCCAACGCATAAAGCGTCTATGTCAGAGCCAGGTCCATGAACCCCAAGCCGATAAGAACCAAAAGTAAATATGAGAGCATTTGCATCTTCAACCATCTTATCTACCCCTTCAAACGAGTAACTTGTTTGACCCAATTAGTTGCAATCTCTTGAATTCGAACAACAACTTCTTCTGTCTTTGAAGCTTCCTCTTCGCTCTCATACAGCCCAGCTTCCGCCAAAAACCTTCCCAAATAACGACTTCTTAGTATGTCGGCTTCGGTCGTACCCGCCATGGAAATCTGCTTTGTGAGGCCATACTGTGTCGCTGGCGCTTCTATCGGCGGCGGCGAGTTACCTAATCCCTCTGAACTCACCATCTCTACACCCATTTAGCGCCAAAAGGGAAAAAACTGTTGGATCATAAACTTGATCCATTATGGGAGCCTAAACCCAAACCCAAACTAAATTGATGTCATTACTTACATCATTTAATTAAAGATGTCATTGCTTACATCATTTAATTAATGATGTCATTGCTTACATCAATTTAGTTAGGTGAGAGTTAGATATTTGTTGAATTTGTAATGGTTTAAATTAGTTTATTTGTGTGGTGTAGGATTGTTCTTGAGTAGTATAAATACCCCTTCCCATTTTAGTTTTAAGCATCAAGAAAAAATTAAGAGCTTCTAAGTGAGTGAAGAAGCAAAGTCTTATAAGAGTGAGTTGTAGTTCTTGTTTTTGAGTGAGAGTACTCTTGTAATATTTCTTTGAGTTTCAATAAAAGTTGTTTGTGTGAGTGTTTTATTTCCAACAAAGTGGCATCAGAGAGAGTTGGAAAGATCGAAGGTCTCGACGAGAGGAATACGACGCCGCCAGAATTTTCTCAATCTGAGTTCTGACGCACCGCCACGCACCGCCGGAAGACTGCTGCCAGAAAATCGAGTTGACTCACCGAGTTGAGCCGATTCAGCCGAGTTGGAGCCCTTGACCGAGTTGTCCAAGTCCCTCCAAAGTTTTTTTTTTCATCGTTCCGGATTCATCCGTGCAATCGGATTTTACAAAATCTCATTATATTGAGAGATATGGCAAATGGTATGGCACCATTCCAAGTTCCGACACTCAACAACAACAACTACGACAACTGGAGTATCAAAATGAAGGCACTTCTTGGATCACAAGATGTGTGGGATATCATAGAGAAAGGCTATAATGAGCCTGCGGATGATGATGTTTTTGCTACTCTTACACCAGATCAAAAGACAACTTTGAAGGATTCAAGAAAGAGAGACAAGAAGGCTCTCTACCTCATCTATCAAGCATTAGATGATGATGGTTTTGAAAAGATTTCAAGTGCAAGCTCTAGCAAGGAAGCGTGGGAGAAGCTGCAAACCTCTTACAAAGGATCCGAGCAAGTGAAGAAGGTTCGTCTCCAAACATTAAGAGGTGAATTCGAATCCTTAAACATGAAAGCATCTGAGTCTATTTCAGATTATTTCTCAAGAGTAGTAGCTGTTTCTAATCAATTAAAAAGAAATGGTGAAAAGTTAGACGATGTGAGGATAATAGAGAAGATACTCCGTTCGTTGGATCCCAAATTTGAGCACATCGTCGTGACGATTGAAGAAACTAAAGACTTGGAAGAAATGAAGATCGAACAGCTCCAAGGATCATTGCAAGCATACGAAGAGAAGCATAAAAAGAAGCATGAGTTTACTGAGCAACTCCTCAAGCTGCAACTCAAGGATATGCATGAGAGTCAACGCAATGATAGAAACCAACGTGGCCAAGGCAGAGGTAGAGGCCATGGACGAGGTGGAAGTCGAGGTCGTGGACGAGGCTGGAATTACAACAATAACAATTCCAACAACAACTATGAGAAAGGAGAAAGCTCAACACGAGGCCGTGGAAGAATTAATCCAAACTCAAAGTATGACAAATCTCAAATTCGATGTTATAATTGTCAAAAATTTGGGCATTATGCTTCAGAATGTAGAGCTCCCAACAACAAAATTGAGGAGAAGGCCAATTACGTGGAGGAAAAGACAGATGGCAAAGAAACTCTTCTTCTAGCACGAAAGGAAACTGATGGTGGCCAAGCAAATTCCTGGTATCTTGACAGTGGTGCAAGCAATCACATGTGTGGAAGGAAAGACATGTTTGTGGAGCTAGACGAGTCAGTAAGTGGAAATGTTTCGTTTGGAGATGATTCCACAATAGCAGTGAAAGGGAGAGGTAACATTCTTATCCGTTTGAAAGATGGGAGACATCAATTTATTTCAAATGTCTACTATGTGCCCAATATGAAAAGTAACATTTTAAGTTTAGGGCAACTGGTAGAGAAAGGTTATGATATTCATATGAATAATTATAATCTTTCTATAAAAGATGATAAGAATAACTTCATTGCTAAAGTGCCGATGTCAAAGAATAGAATGTTCTTGATCAACATACAAAATGATGTTGCAAAGTGCCTGAAAGCTTGCTACAAAGATGCATCATGGCTTTGGCATCTTCGATTTGGGCATCTCAATTTTGGAGGTCTAGAGCTATTATCTAAGAAGGAGATGGTGAAAGGACTACCTCACATCAACCATCCTGACCAACTCTGTGAAGGGTGTCTAGTCGGGAAACAATTCAGGAAAAGCTTTCCAAAGGAGTCAGAGACAAGAGCTAAGAAGCCACTTGAGCTCATCCATACCGATGTGTGTGGACCGATCAAGCCAAGCTCTCTCGGTAACAATAACTATTTCTTCTCTTCATTGATGATTTTTCAAGAAAAACCTGGGTATATTTCTTGAAACAGAAGTCAGAAGTTTTTGAAGTCTTCAAGAAGTTCAAAGCAGCAGTGGAGAGAGAAAGCGGTAGAAAGATCAAAGCCATGAGATCCGATCGAGGTGGAGAATTTACTTCCAGGGAGTTTCAAGAGTTCTGTGAAGCAAATGGAATTCGTCGACCAATGACAGTTCCTAGATCCCCCCAGCAAAATGGTGTGGCAGAAAGAAAGAATAGAACAATCCTCGACATGGCACGAAGCATGCTCAAAAGCAAGAAACTACCCAAAGAATTTTGGGCGGAAGCAGTATCGTGTGCAGTCTACTTGTCAAATCGATCTCCAACAAGAAGTGTATGGGGAAAGACACCGCAAGAGGCATGGAGTGGAAGAAAGCCTGGCATTTCCCACTTGAGAACCTTTGGAAGTATAGCCCATGTTCACGTACCAGACGAGAGAAGAACGAAGCTTGATGATAAAAGCGAGAGTTTTATCTTCATCGGCTATGATGCTAATTCGAAGGGCTACAAGTTGTACAATCCAGACAATAAGAAGTTTGTGATTAGTCGAGATGTGGTCTTCAACGAAGAAGGAGAATGGGATTTTAACTCTCATACAGATGACTTCAATTTCTTTCCTCAGTTTGAAGAAGATGAGCAGACAATGAGGGAGCAACTAGATGAATCTCAACAAGAGCTTGCAACTCCACCCACTTCACCAACATCAACCACTCAAGGAGACTCATCACCTTCATCATCGTCAAGTGGGAGTCAAAGTGAAAGAGTTGTGCAACGCACAAGAAGCCTTAGAGATCTCTATGAGGTAACTGAACGACAAGATAATCTTACATTATTTTGTCTGTTTGCCGATTGTGAACCAGTGAGCTTTCAAGAAGCGGTACAAGAAAAGAAATGGAGAGATGCGATGGACGAAGAAATCAAGGCCATCGAGAAGAATGACACATGGGAACTTACCTCACTTCCCAAGGGACATAAGGCGATAGGTATCAAATGGGTGTACAAAACAAAGCAAAACGCCAAAGGAGAGATTGAAAGGCACAAGGCGAGGCTAGTTGCTAAAGGCTATAGTCAAAAGGCTGGAATTGACTATGATGAGGTATTTGCTCCTGTTGCTCGATTGGAGACTATCAGACTAATCATTTCTTTGGCAGCTCAAAACAAGTGGAAGATACAACAGATGGATGTAAAGTCCGCCTTCCTAAATGGAGTTCTTGAAGAGGAACTTTACATTCAGCAACCATCAGGCTATGAAGTCAAAGGGCATGAAGACAAGGTGTTGAAGTTGAAGAAGGCTCTTTACGGGCTAAAACAAGCACCAAGGGCATGGAATAGCCGAATCGACAAGTACTTCCAAGAGAATGGCTTCAACAAATGTCCCTACGAGCATGCTCTATATATCAAGATCAAAGATGAAGATATTTTGATCGTGTGCCTCTACGTGGACGATTTGATCTTAACTGGAAGCAACCCAAGCATGTTTAATGAATTCAAGGATGTGATGATGAAAGAATTCGAGATGACAGACATGGGGCTCATGGCGTACTACCTTGGCATTGAAGTTAAGCAACAAAATGATGGAATTTTCATTTCACAGGAAAGCTATGCAAAGGAGATACTGAAGAAGTTCAAGATGGAGAACTGTAAGCCAATAAGCACACCGGCAGAATACGGGATCAAGATGACCAAATATGAAGAAGGCGAAAGTGTAGATCCAACATTCTTCAAAAGTTTGGTAGGAAGTCTACGCTATCTAACTTGCACGAGACCCGATATTCTTCACGCAGTTGGATTGGTTAGTCGCTACATGGAATCCCCAACAACCACCCATTTTAAAGCCGCAAAGAGAATTCTTCGCTATCTGAAAGGTACAATTGACTTTGGCTTGTTCTATTCAGTTTCTAATGATTACAAGCTTGTTGGATATAGCGACAGTGATTGGGGTGGAGACATAGATAATCGAAGGAGCACTACTGGATTCGTATTTTTCATGGGAGATATTGCATTCACATGGATGTCAAAGAAACAACCGATTGTCACATTGTCCACTTGTGAAGCGGAATATGTTGCTGCTACCTCATGTGTTTGTCATGCAATTTGGCTTAGAAATCTATTGAAGGATATTGGTTTGATACAAGAAGAGCCTACCAAGCTTTGTGTCGACAACAAGTCAGCCATTGCCTTAGCGAAGAATCCAGTATTCCATGATCGAAGCAAGCACATTGATATTCGCTACCACTATATAAGGGAGTGTGTTGCAAGAAAAGATGTGGAAGTTGAATATGTGAAGTCACAAGATCAAGTTGCTGATATTTTTACCAAGCCACTGACCAGCGAAGACTTCTTAAGATTAAGGAACCTACTAGGGGTCACGAGATCAAGTTTAAGGGAGGGTGTTGGATCATAAACTTGATCCATTATGGGAGCCTAAACCCAAACCCAAACTAAATTGATGTCATTACTTACATCATTTAATTAAAGATGTCATTGCTTACATCATTTAATTAATGATGTCATTGCTTACATCAATTTAGTTAGGTGAGAGTTAGATATTTGTTGAATTTGTAATGGTTTAAATTAGTTTATTTGTGTGGTGTAGGAT